AAATCCGATACAATGCACTTCAACAGATCGCTCCTGTCCAGAATGCATTGTGTTCGCAGGTTATTAAGAAGTGTAGAAAATCGTTGGGAACTTGTTTGTACGAACTTCTAATCATTCTGTCGATAATTGGAACACTTCAGTTAGTGTTTCTTAAACCCCAGATGACAATTATTTTGAGTATCAGAAATACGTTGTTCTCTGAAAAGAACGACAAACTTGAAATGGTTATCTCCCTGCCCAACAACCATTAGCAGTAATTGATCAGTTGTCCGGTTGGCCTCTCATGCTTTACATGTCATCTGCTCACTGCTTGAAGAATCATGCAACCCTCACAGTGGTGAGAATTATCAGTCTGTAGAATTTCATACCAATTGGTTTATCGCCAACATAGTGTCTTTATAAGCACCCCTCACTTGTATGTCAACCAGTTTTCTCTAGTTGACATAAAACAACCATCCTCGAACATATTCTGCTCAGACAGTTGATGCTAGACATTAGTTTCTTCAGCACAATCGTTGAATTTGCCTAACTGAGGTTCAAACTGACTCTGGACGATACCAGTATTTCAGTCGTTAACTAACTCTGGAGTCTGTGGGCATAACTGAAACCTTAGTGAACAGTCTCCATTCTAAGCTGGTGTGTTGTCTACCATATGTAATTCTACACAAATTTCTCTGCATCATATCATATCAATATTGCAATCAGTTTTGTTTACATACATTGAATCTCTTACGCACGCAGTCGTTCAGTGTACTACATTGTCCGACAGACAAGCATTCGATCATCTCTTAGGCAGCTTGCAACTGGAAGATAAAATTTCTTTACAGCTACTAAGGCATATGCAGACATTATTGCAGGTCGCGAGGCAGATAAAAGACTTTTGTACCAGATAGGGTGACTTATGTTGCAGAGACCATTCAACAGATTCTTGCATTTGGTGACAATGATACAGACTAGCCACAATAGCTGATCGCATACAAGAGAGAACTGTGCCTTGCATTGCTGCCTTAACTACACTTGGATATTGTCGAGCTCTGAAATCTGACTCCAAATTTTATATACGTGTCCAGATAAACTATCGCCTATTTATAATTCCCGACACTGCTGATCCACCTGCGTCAGACAGCGCAAATATCAGGAGTTAACGCGTAGTATATATCACGATGTTGTATTAGTCAACGAGCGAGCAAAAAGTCTTCTTCAGTACAACTAAACAAAAAATGTTCAATGAGTTGTTACATATATAAATACAATACAGTGAAATAAAATGCTACAATCTTATCTGAGCATAGTAGACCATTACCGTTATCTGTTCATTCAGCTCGGATTCCCAAAGTGCCACCTAAGTGCCTTCCTGACTCATTCAGTCTACCCACCTATGCATTGAAATCACATGCAACAACCATCACGTCTAAGCGTTTGGTTTTCGAGAGGAGTCTAGACAGTTTTCGGTAGAACTCGTCCTTCAATGCATCCGAACTGCAGTCAATGGGTACATAAGCAGAGATTACAAAAAGACAACGGCTAGTTTCACTATTCCTTTTAGTTCTCACTGTGCCGTTCAGCTGGACAGCGCAGAGGCGACTATCAACTGGGATCCAGTCCACTAGTGAGTTTTCTGCCCTAGTGCTTAATGCTACGCCTACACCTGCAAGACCACGAGAGCTAGCCATCAAATCTCCAGAAACTCGAAGTGTGAATTTTTCGGATTCACCAGATTGACGGGAGAGGTTAGGTGAATAACCGCATTTGGGTCCTGTATGTAAGTCTCACAAACATAGCACACATCCATGGCCCGAGTTGCTAGAGTCTTGGCCAACGAAGCCTGTTGGCCAATTTGATGGAGGGTGCGGACATTAATAGCCCCGATGCGTAGTTTGAGGAGACAAGGGATGCTGTCCTGTGGATTCTGATCGTTGTCGAAGGCTGCAGAACTAGGAGAAATTGAAGATGATGTAGTACCGTTAATTGACAGACGTGAAGGAAGATTAGAAGGTAATGAGTGAGGTAGATAAGTCTGAGGAAACTTGTGTGAGTGAAGGCGGTTGACACTTCCCGGCTGCCCACATCGTGAAAGGTTATTTCTTCTTAAGGTACCTGAGAGGATTTGTGTGACCACAGAGCCCATCGGAGGCCTGTTATACTAAGTCCTTTGTGTATGCTTGCTTTGAACTTTTGTATTTTTGGGGCCGGATGGTCAAAAAGAAACGACAAATGAACCAACACCACCGGTCTGGCAAACCGTGGAGTGGTATTTTGGGGCAGGAAGTTCCTAACTCCCCCTTCCACTGAGAAGGCAGCATCAGCCTGGCATTGCTGGTCATCCGAGGGAAACACCTTACTATTGTCATACCCCATCCAGCTAGCAGCAGTACGACTTCGTCCTCAGACCATCATAGTGTAGCAATTTACAACACAACGGTAATTGCTTTTTGTCTAACCACTATCCAACAGACGTTTCTGGTATGGTAAGACCTCGAGGGAACAAGTGTTCCACCAGTATAGCTCGTTGGGTCATTGTGACATCCAAGCGCGACCACCACTTCAAGGTAGCAGCTATCGGTTGAGCAATACAGTATGCATAGTCAGAAGTTGGCATACACCCAGCTCACGTCACCAACTGAAAGGTGGCAAGGTCTTTACCAGTACAATCGCTAAGCACCTGATGGAGACAGGACATCAATCCCTCAGGATGATCAATAAACAAAGAATAGTATGTTTGCCATGGTTTGCGGAAGCTCTCACCACCAAACATTTCCGACCTAACCTGCGTACTCAGGAGACTGTTCCTAACCGTTCTTTATCCTGGTAACTATACACAGTTTTTCTATATATAAGTACATAGCTTTACTTTCTTCATTGCATCATTTCTTTTCTAATAACTTACCAACTGTCAATCACTCAGTAGGAATGTTTTCCAGTTCCTCCGTGCGACTTCGTAACTTACTAGCGCCTTAACAACTCCTTCTTTTCACTCCTGTCCGTTTATTGTCTTCCCCTTCCCAAAGCCCTCATGGGATGTGTGTAAATTGCCACCGATTTTGATTAAGATATGTAATTAGTGTTAATTCTGGATTTTGAATCTTCATTTATTTCTGCATATTTAAAGTATGTTATGCCATTATTTCTATTAATACTTCATTGCAATTGTAGGATGTTTGTAGCTGATGAAAGTTCGTGAACTAAAATGAGCTCATTTCATCCTGCGAAAGAATTTTTCTTTGTACGATTCACTTTTTTTCAAAGGAACTACATGTATCGCATTCTGAATTAGATTTCTCATTTTCATATTGTCTCAATTATTCAGGTAAGTCCACTTAACGTTATGATTAACCTCGCTCGTTTTAAATGAATTTAACTCATCTGTTAGATAAAAACACATATGAAAAAGCAACAGAAAGCATCTAAACAGACTCTCAAGCTTACGACTACAGATCATATGACTATTCCGGTTAACCTTATGAAAAACTACTGATTTCTAACCCAGAAAGATGATACAACCGAGTCATGCATGTCCACTGAGGTTAATAGTACAGTAAGGCTAAAATCTAGACACTATGGCAGAGTATGATAACATAGTCGATTGTTTATTTGATGTAACACACAGTGAACCGGCATTATTGACTGGATGAGATTTCGAGTGGAATTTATTGCTCATATTCATACTAAAGTAATCATACGACTTCTAAACTTCCCTTATATAGTCCGACAGTTCTCTTTTTTTTTTATTGGTAGTGAACACAAATTCAGTTATCAAGCACTGCCTCCATCTAGCTATAATGGATAATAGTCACCCTATCCCACCGAATACTGTGATTGGGGGTCAGTGCATGCAGTGCAATAGTCAAGATTTTCTCCAAAATTAATTATCTTCGTAGGGTCAACCATTATGTGTTTCGTTAATTTTGGCATTCCGCTATTCTGACTGACTCAGTTTTCCTGCTTTGACCAACATACGTGACCTCACAGTGATTACATGATACCTGATGGATAGGGTTACTTTGCTTAATTGATCATACTGAAACTCTTAGTTTCTCTGAGAATGAATATGTGGATCT